TGTCTGCCTTGTGTGTGACACAGGCGTCGTCGTAACATGCGGTCCATGACAGAGTAGCATGGTTATTCTCTGTTCGGTGAAGGGCGTTGGCTTGCCGGTTGCCTTCCGGTACGGGCTGGAACTTGCGTTCCTGGCGGCATTTGTTGGCGTAGTGCCCCTTCTTGCCGCAGTTGTAACATGTAACACTTGCCGTGTCCTTGTCCCTGCGACCTTTGTCGTGTCTGGTCGCGTCGAGGTCCATTGGTCCGCTGTGATGTCCATGGGAGGTTCTATTCTGCCATCCTTGGTTGCGTGGGGGGTGTCGGTTGTCGCTGCCCCGGTGGTGGTTTTGTCGCGGCCTCCCGGTGTTTGCTTTAATGCGCGGGGTGTGTGGCTCGCTCCTGGATCCTCGTTTCTCGAGTCTTCTCTCATACAGGCGGTTGTCGATTTTGACGATTCTTTCGACGTAGCTGTCGAATTCGTCGGGTCTGTCTTCCTTTGAGACTTCGTCTTTTACGTCTTCTCGCAGTCCTGCGTAGAAGAGCGTCATGAGTGCATCGTCGTCGCTCCATTCGGTCTTGGATGCGATTTGCTTGAATTCGGATGCGTATTTGGCGGCCGATCCGCGTTGTTTGAGTTGCATGAGCCTTCGTTCGGCAGTGCGGACTTCGTCCGGGTTGCCGAAGGTTGCTCGTAGGCGTCTCTCAAATTCGCCGTAGTCGCTGAACACCTTCTGTGTGTCGTCTTCTTGTCGATCCTCGCTGTTGTTGAGGTAATCCCTCATGGTTGGTTCAAACCAGTCGAGGGCGTCTTCTTTGAGGAATCCGGCGACGCACAGGATCTTGTCGGGTTCGGTGATGATGGTCCCGCTATAGAAGCGTAGATAGGCTCGTGCTTGGGTGAGGAATCCTTGAATGCCTCCGTCCTTCCCACTGTATGACTGAGGGGGTGCGAGTTTGTAGCCTCCGCTGCCGCCTCCTCGCTGCGTGCTGTTGACAGCAACGAGTTGCGCAGTGAGTTGCTCGTTGTCACTCTTGACGGTGTCGAGGGCTTTCTGTAGCTGCCGTATCATCTTGAGGACGTCGGGTCCTCCCGTGGGATTGTCCACGGAGCTTCCGCTGGGGGTGGATGGTGCCATTTTGCCTGATGGAGATATTGCTCAGTTAGTTCGAGAGTAACGTACCTGAACAAGAGTGATCAAAATGTGACGGATATGCTTTCTAGGATAAACCGTAGAGAGATACAGGTACGTGGGTTTATGCTAACAGGGGACGTTAGTCTCGAGGGCGGCTATAGTCTATAGCCTGTGCACTGAACAAGATAGAATA